ATTTTCACCCGTGAGGACTAAGATGGAAGGCCTTTCTTTCAGTAAAAAGAATCTCCGGTTCTCTACACTCACCATACGAAAGACAGCAGTGTTAAGCTGCTATTTTGCACTGGTAATCTGTGAGAGTGTGTTCCTTCCCCGGTCGAGTCGACCCATTCGTGCTACAACTATACTAATAATATAGCTGCAGCATGGCTCTACCACGTATAATGACGTATAAAAATTAATTCCAATCTAAAAGTTTTGTTTGTGTACTAATATTGAATCATAAGGAATTTACCACACTGAAAAGAATTACAGGGGACCAGAAAATAATGCAACACCATTAAACAAATATTTCTTGTTCCACTTGAAATTTAAGTAACGAAAAATATCAACATCAGTACAAAACGTACATTATAAAGGCGTAGAGTAATAAAAGCACACTTTAAACAATTGCGAGACTGATAACAATCACCAAGGCGTCATTCAACCCAAAAACATGGTAAGCTCGCAGCGATGCACCGACAGATCATATTAACTTACGAATAAATAAAGAGGCTGAACAGTCTAATGATAACGACATTCAAAGCAGGAAAAACTTATTATGTTTTACGTTTATTAACTGAATTTTATTTTCTTATCTCAAAAATTAAAAATAATTAAACGAGTAAACGGTTTTCGATCCTCGCCGGTAAAATAGAAACAGTTAATTGTAATTTTAAATGTCAAATTACTGCGTGCTCCGCGTTAAAAGAAATCATCTTGTGTTTTTGAAGTAATGAAGTTCGGGAATATGTATTGGGATAAACTTGCGTGCAACAAAATCCTCTCAATGCGGAAAGGAGGCTTGTGAAAATTGGTGGGACTTGTGCAGGTTGTTCTTTGCTTGGATAAAATCATATAAAAGGAAACAGTAAAAATTTAATCAATTATATCTCCGTTTGACGAAGTAAAACTTATTCAACGATGTAAATAATTCTATATCTCAAGTACTACACTGGTTTACAACAAATAACTTTCTTCTGAATGCCGAGATAAAAATAGAATAAGGGTGACAAACGAGCACACAGTCCACCTGGTGGTAAGTGGATGCTGAGGCACCTGTGAGGACTAAGATAAAATGTATCTTATCCAGTAAAAGGGGTGTCCGGTTTTCTACACTCACTATACGAAAAATAGTAGGCTTGAGCTGCTATTTTAGCTATGATATATGCTATGATATATATATATATATATATATATATATATATATATATATATAACTATTTAGTGCACAGCAGGGTCGAGAAGGGACGCCCTAGACGAAGGTTTATCGACCAAATCGGCGATACATTAAAAATGGGCCAGATTAGGAGTACCCTTAACCGACGAGCGTGTATGCGTAGATATATGGATGTAAAAGAGGCGAGAGAGGTGTGTCAGGATCGCGCCAAATGGAAGTCCGTAGTCTCTGCCTACCCCTCTGGGTGACAGGCGTGAGTGTTTATATATGTATGTATTTCCTCTAAAATAACCGAGTTGTTTTTGCATAAATTCAAAGCAAATTAAAAAACCCTCTAATAATAAAAGGTTATATAAATTAGATTAATATTTAAGAGATAAGTGTGCTTGGTTATAAAGAGCTTTGTTAGATTTTTCTTAATTTGGGTATAAATATTGAAAGGTTAAATTGTAACTGTTGGCAGAAAAATAGTACAGCTGGGAGTTTTTTGCAGCTTTTTCACAAAATCGCCCAAAGTAGAGATTTGTTGGTGCGTTGGCGTGACTTTTGTCACTTTCAAAATGTGCTTTGCAAGGCCAATTCTGAACAGAAATATTTTGACTTTAACTTTGAGATGTAGTTGTCTACGGGCCACAGCATACATTAACTATAAGGAGGACATTGAGCTCCGTTGATAATACGACATGTGTATGACCTCTAAACAAGGCATCCTCAGGTGAAGTAGACTCTACGGTGGTTGACCGCTAAGTATATAAGATTAGTGGTTACGAGGATACTGAACGCAATTTAGGGAGGGCGGGAGAAGCTCTTCAAAGTAGGTAAGATACATCATTTTATTTTATTTTATTATAATATGATGGATTTCTGCAAACTAACGCCTGATATTAATTAATGTTTGTTTGTATACTACCAACGTAAAGCCAGAAACGCTACCGCCTGAGACATGAACCGCGACGCCGGCGCCAACATTCCGGCGCCGACTGTCTCCACCTCTTTTCAAGTAAAACTAGCTCCAACAACATTTTTGATCATTACAGTGAACCCGAATGTTTCCTTTAAAACTAAAAATAAAAGGAAATCGAGGACACTTGTAAACTTGATCCTAGATCGACATTGCTGGGGAACGTAGTGTAAATGATTTGTGGAAGAGTATTAGACAAAATAAGTAATACACTTACAGCTTCATATGACACAGGGCTGTAGGAGTCGTATAGGCTAACAGCACTGAAGGTAACAGAATTAAAGGTATTATTAAATTTTCAGATTATAATGCAATATTTTCTATATATATAGATATTCTCTCATTTTCGCCTACTCTCTCCAATCAAAGTTTTCACTGTTAGCACGCTTCCTTCCGTAATAGCCGTCAAAGGACCACTGCTTCTATTGTCATCTCTCAAAGTCAGTCGACCGAGCTGCAATTTGTTATACAAACGGTACACGGTTACCTTAAGGGAGCCTTTATTCGTTCATGCCAATTGATGTCTATCAAATGATACTTCCGGTTTTAGGCGATATTTTGTAAATGATCATAAATTTAATACCGCTAATAACTTTTTATATATAAAAGAATACTTTTTTATACATTATAGGTGACAAACGAGCACACAATCTACCTGATGGCAAGTGGATGCTGTGGCCCATAGACATCTATATTGTCCTCGATTAAGAATCAAAAATCAGATGTGTTGTTACACATGAATACTAAAATGGAATGCCTCCTTTCCAGTAGAGAGGGTCCCCGGTTCTCGACACTTACTATACAAAACACAGCAGCATTAAGCTGATATTTACGTTGGCATTTTTTGAGAACGTGGTCCTATACCGTTGGACTCATTCATGTTGCAGCCATGATATAGTAGATGTATGAAACTTTGTAGGGATACTGGTGGAAATTGCTTTGAAAAGATTTAATTTTAATTTTTATCATAGCACTATTTTTAGTTTCACAAATATTTCTACATGGCCCGCGTATACTTGAATATTTTACCAATATAAGAAGCAAAGTAGTTAGTCATGTTTTCGTGAAATAAATTATTCTAAAAAAATGCGAAGTAAGAATTAAATAAAACATATATAAACCGAAATATCACCACCCGATATACCGTGTACCGCGAGTGTTCTAAGAAGCCACATAGGAAAATGAAATAGATGGCAGCACTATCTTCCTGATAACTACTCAATAATTATTTTTAAAGAAAACTGCGATTGCTGACCCATTTACTAAGTGCGGAAACTATAGCAAAAACCCTCCCTACGAGGCAATCTATAGGGAAATTTTATGTTCAGCAGAGGACTTGTTATGGTTGTGTGTGTAATGCAAATAACTTCCATTACAAACTCCTGCTATCGTAAACACCCTTGAAGCATGTCATTTCGTCTCTTAAATTAGTAAAGCTGACAAAATAAATGCGTGGAGGATAGAATTCTTTTTTCAGCAGATCCTATGCGAATAATTTGTACCCCCGGTAGCGGCGGATGCCTCGAAATGTCATGAAATATGTATATTTTTTTTAAAAACGTTACCCCCACACTAGGATTTTCTCCTGTATCGTGGAGGCAGTTTACAAACACAAATTTCACAAGGACAAACATCCAGACCCGGAACAATTATTTGTAGGCCATACAAATACTTGTTCCGTGCGGGTTTCGAACCCGCGCCCCCCAGCGCAGCAACTCATTGTTAAGCCACTGCACCACGGGGCCATCAATTGTCAAACCAACTGTTTTTATTTTGTTATTTTTATACTTTTACGTAAACTTGTTCTTTTTTCTTTTTTCTATTCTCTATTTAGTATTTTAAGCTGCCAGCCCTAACTGCATCTAAAGCAAATGTTACGTGACCCTCGGATAACTTTCATTGTAACTGTTCAGCGGATTAAGGTTCAAAGCAAAGGTGCTTGGTTAAAATGTGTGTCAATCCAATGCGCTAGATCGGGCCGGCGCAGACTTAACGATGTAGCGGGATCGGGTCTTAAAGTTTACGCTCCGTGGCCACGGTTCCACCTGTTAGCTCGCTCTCGTTCACAATTTGTCCACAAACTGCGCTATTTAAACATCTATTTTGTTCTCCTCGATGTTCCCCAAATAGTCCCTTACTTTAATACATTTGCAAAACAGATTAGAAAGTTGCTTCAAATACCAATATTCTATTTTTTTTATTTGTTGCCATTAACATAGGCCAATTAAAGGTACTAGAAGTCTGTATTAACATTTTTAATTAAAATTAATGTATTTATAATATATTAAATACATAGTTATATATTTTAAATACATTAATATACATAACCAATAAAGCATTTAACAGAAACCATATTTTTAATTTTATGATACTACAATATGGTTTACTATATCTATCTATATATCTTTAGAAATGCTTTAATTAGCAAATATTGGATGCTAGTTGCATATTTGCTAGGTAGGACTCGTGTGGTGAGGAGTCCTACTGGGTGGGTATTCGCGTGCTTGCCCTGCTGTGTCCCGCTCTGGAGAGTATAGAGTCAGTATAATCACAGGCAGTGAGGCATCCCACCTCTATCCTTACAAGTGTCAACGCATCTGCAGTCTTCTTTGCTTAAAGATGAAGTGTCCATGGACTGCAGTAGCCACTTTACCAACAGGTCGACTATAAGTACGTTTGTTATTAAGGTTTTATAAAAAAAATATCATAGGTTTCATATACTTTGCTGTATAATGCATCTGATATATTTTATATTATTCTGCCAACTGTGAAAACAATTTTTTGAAATTCGAATCCCACATTTTCTTAACCGTATATTTCGTATTTTAAACTCACCGAGCGCAAGCAGCAGCACGAACGCCGCCTCGAAATGCATCACGTAGTATTACAGTTCACTAAATATCAAGTAAGTTAAAATATCCCTAGCTCAGTATATACGTCTGAGCCGACGCAAGGCACGGCGCGAGACTGACAGCGCGGAGTCGCACGCGCTAGTTTTGCTGCGCGCACGCATCCCGCCATCTCCACGCCTTGCCGAAACAAAATTATTCTAGATAGCCGAGATGAATCTCGATACAATGAGAACCCGAAACTATTCGAAATAAGTACAGAGATTCCATTACAGCCTATAAAAGTCCACTGCTGAACATGGCCCACTCTCATATATTTTCTCATATGATTTCGCACAACTTCATTTGACTAAGAGTGACAAACGAGCACACAGTCCACCTGATGGTAAGTGGATACTGTGGCCCATAGACATCTACATTTATCCTCGATTTAGAATCGAAACTCAGAATGCGTTGTCACGCTGAGGACCAAGATGGATTACCTCGTTTCCAGTAAAATGGTACGGTTCTCTACACTCACCATACGAAACACAGCAGCATTAAGCTGCTATTTTACGTTGGTATTCTGTGAGGTACGTCGGTCGAGCCAACCCATTCGCGCTACAATATATAGCATAATATATGATACCATGAAATTTACGGCAACCGTTCAGCCCCTGAGCCAACTCGGCCCCAGATCGGTTACTATAGTTCAACGGAACTCGAAAATCTAACTATATTATTCTACTTCTGCAAAATTCCTATCATAGCTCACATCTATCACTACAGATGCAATACCGATACAAGCGCTGTGACTTTCACTTGCTTCTAGGGATTAATTTGTATTAAGTTATTTAACAATATGACATTAGTAGTTACTCACAAGTACCGAATGTCGGGACTTGTTACATATTTGTTGCCGATTAAAGGCATTTTTGACGGCTCAGTAGCACAGACGTTTAACTGCGACGCTACTGGTCGCGAATTTGAATCCCAAACGCAATAAATATTTGCATGACCTACAAATAATTGTTTCGGGTCTAGATGGTTGTCTATGTACAATTTACATATACAAAGTGTCACGCCAAGAGCCTATAGAACCCAAAAAAGCATGTAGAAGCACATTTAGCCAAAAATATAATCTTATATATAAAAACGAATGTTTGTGTGATCGTATTTAATGCGCTACCACATCGTTCATCCGATTGCGGTAAAAATTTCTCAACACTTTTTTTTTTATAGGAGAGGGGGCAAACGAGCATGCGGCTCACCTGATGGTAAGTGACTACCGCCACCCATGAACAACTGGAACACCAAGGGAATTGCAGATGCGTTGCCGGCCTTTTAAAAAGGAGTAGGCTCTTTTCTTGAAGGCCCCTAAGTCGTATCGGTCCGGAAAAATCGCTGGTGGTAATCGATTCCACAAGGAAATTGTGCGAGTAATAAAACATCTTCTAAATCGCACAGTGGTGGACCACCAATCATCCAGATGGTAAGAATGTTATCGCGACTTTTTCGCGATGTGCGATGGTGAAATTGAGCGGCTGGAATTAGTCTGAACAATTCCTCAGAGCACTCACCGTGGTAGATTCGATAAAATACGCAACGAGATGCAAAATCTCTTCGCAGCGCCAGTGAATCGAGCCACTTTGCGCTGGATGCAGTCAAGTGGAAGGAGCTGGCACAGGGGAGCCCCAGCCCAGAGATGGGAATGGTATTCGATGTGATATGGTATACTATTCCGTTTACATCCAACATTACGTGGTAGAGCCATGCTGCAGCTATATTAATAGTATATTTGTAGCACGAATGGGTCGGCTCGACCGGGGAAGGACCACGCTCTCACAGAATACCAGCGTAAAATAGCAGCTTAATGCTGCTGTGTTTCATATGGTGAGTGTAGAGAACCGGAGGCACTTTTTACTGGAAAAGCGGCATTCTATCTTAGTCCTCACGGCTGACAACGCATCTGCATTTTAATTCGCAAACGAAGATAGATGCAGATGTCTATGGGCCACAGCTACCATTTACTATGAGGTGGACTGTGTGCTCGTTTGTCACCCTAATTCTATAAAAAAAATGTGAGGCCGAACCTGCGCCTTGTAAAGTTGCAGGCGATATGTCGGCATGAAATCCTTTCCCGCTCTGCTGATCACGCCAAGCTTTTTAGAGGCCAATTTGGCCTTCTCTTCCAAGTGACCACGAAACTGCACGTGACTCAATATGTCGACGCCGGAGATTCGATACTGGCGGAGGCAACAAGGGGAGTGCCTTGAAACTGAGGAGATACGACAAAGGGGTTCTTTTTATTGGTAAACGCGCAAACTTGTGTCTCCTGACGATAAACTGGACTAGATTTAGTCGCCCCCAATCCGAGACTTTGCTTTAAAGACACAAGTTTGTTCCGGTACTTGGCAACGTTTTCCCAAGAAATATTGGCACGGCCGGTGTATGGAGCATCACCAGTGCTGTCATCCGCATAACAATGAATGTTACCGGTTTGCAACATATCATTGATATGCAAAAGAAAGAGCGTTGGTGATAGCACGCAACCTTGTGGAACACCAGCGTTAATAGACTTGTTATCGGAGCATGCACCGTCTACTACGACCTTGATGCTCCGATCAGCCACAAAACTGGTGATCCAATTGCACAATTTTTCGGGAAGCCCATAGAAAAGAAGCTTTGAAAGAAGCGCTTTGTGCAAGACCCGATCGAAGACCTTCGCTATGTCCAAACTAACGGCCAATATTTCCCCCTTGGACTCGATCGCCTGCGCCCATCTATGTGTTAAGTAAACAAAAAAGGTCACGAGCTGAGCGTCCCTGACGGAAACCGTACTGGCGGTCACTAATCAGCTGTGCCCCTCAAGGTCGGTACCTTGAGGGGCACAGCTGATTGATTCTGATGAGCTGGCAGTTAACATTATTTTCGAGAACAAGGAGGTGTTGGCGATAGGTCTGTAGGTGGACGGATCAGAGCGGTTACCTTTTTTAGGGATCGGGTCCGTCAGGCCCACTCGACTTGTATATGTCCATGGAGAGGAGTGCTTTGCGTACTAAGCACTGTGTGAATCGCACATCAGGCATAAAGCACTCACACTGCGGGATGGTCGGCGGTGTGTTCCCACCGTCATCGAGTGTCGAGTTGAACACAAAAAGGGAGCCTAAAAGATCAGCTTTCTCTTTTGCAGCATGGGCCAGTGAGTCATCCTCCCTGTGCAGAGATGGTAGCGATAGCTTACAGAAATTCCCTTGAACAGCCTTGGCGAGATACCAGAATACACGGGTTCCCAAAGGCAGGCCAACTAATTTCTCGCCAATTCTGCCAATGTGCTCATACTTTGCCTTGGCAATAACTCTTTTGAAGAACCTGGAGGCGAAGTTATACTACTTTTTAAACATGCTGGTGTTTACATCCCGAACCGCCGAAGCCTCAGCCCAGGCCCGATAACTCCTCACTCCTTCTTACAACTGCAACAGTAATGCAGTCTTACAGGAGCGACCAAACCAAGGCTGAGATCTGCCTCTGATGGGCACCACAGATGATGAAATGAATAGTTCCATTCACTGTAGCATCACATGAGTGACAGGGTCAGCAACAGCGCTGAGATCATCCGGCAAAAAGCAAACCCGTCCATAAGGGTAGGATGCAAAGAAAGACCGCATTCCGTCCCAATCCGTTGAATTGTAATGCCAAACACGGCGGCAGCCTGCAGAACGCAACCGCGAGGGGAGCGTGAGTGGCACCACACTCCGGATCAAAAAATGCTCCGAAGAGCCGAGTGGGGTATCGATGGAAACCTGATATCTGTCCGGATGAGAGGTCAGCAGAAGCTCCAACATTGAAGGTGAATGATCCTCCACATCTGGAATCCGCGTGGGTGAAGTAACCAGTTGTATCAGACCATATGCCAAGAAAAAGTCATAAACAGATATCACCGCACGTGAACCGAGCCATTCGGCGTGGTGGGCGTTAAAATCGCCAAGAATCGCGATCTCTACGGATGGGATCTATGATAATGCTTCTACTTTGGCGAAGTTTATAGGCATGGTTCGACCCCATAGGTGGCGCTGTTGTAGAATCCAGATATCACATATGTGAAGCTGGGCAGATTACTAGTATTATATAAAACATTACGTGTCACAATGTTTGTCCGCAATGAACTCCTAAACTACTGAACAGATTTCACATTTTGTGCAGTTTGGTCCAACTTGAGAGATAGGATATTTTTTATTCCGATAAGTGACCATCAATATTTTTTATTGCGAATTTATGGATTTTTTATAGGATAAAGGGTCGTAGGAAATGGCAGAACAACGTCTGTCTGGCCAGCTAGCTTTAAGTAAATGTGAAAGTACTGATATGTATTCCATCGCCTACACACTCACAAATTTAGTATCCCATTAGTCGCCTTTTACGACATGTTAGGCAAGTTGGTGCATTCTCTTATATGCAATTTACGTATGGAAAAGAGCGCATTTAGTCAAACAAATATGGATTTACAAAATTGTGAAAGAAGTGATAGTCTAGTCCATCGCCTACACAATATGTTCGGTGAAACCGAACACCTTTGTCAGCAATTGGCGCCATGCCGCCAATTTGTTTAGTGCAATTTCGTTACGCAACAGTGACGGGTGCATTCATAACAATTTATTAACATTTTTGTAACTGTTTTAAATAAAGTGATTTTTTACTATTTCGGACGTTATCCATTCCACATTCTTAACAAACAATCAGACACACCCCCGACATCTGGTCCTTCGAGCGGTGGTTTTTAGTGAGTTTCAAGTGTGAGCAATCGGTCCTCTGGCCTCCCACAAGCGGGTCTCACCAGCGGATTGAGAAGGTGCGTTATTCACATGAGGGCTTACTAAAAATCTAACGAAACATTAACAGGGGTATAGTGTCTGCGTAACATAAACAATAACATTACGAACAACAACAATAAACAATGGAAGATCTTCTACGAAAACAGTCAGAATTAACAGCAGACATCCAGAAGGAGTTGGATAGCTTCAAGAAAGATAACACTGAACGGAGGTATGCCACAGCGAAAAGAAGACTGGAGCGCCTAAACGTATTCATTGAAGATTTTCAAGCTAACCACGAAATCTTGGTCCAGTGCGAAGATCAAACCA